GGTAAATGTGCATAGAATTTGAGCCTCGGGCAGAGCTACAAGTTTATGCATGCTTTCCTAAGAGTAAACCACACATATGTTTCCACATCAACATAGGTAGGATTGGGTAGTTAATCAGGTTTATCTCTTTGAGATGACATGGAGCCCTTTGTGATTTCTGTATGAAAAGTATGTTGTGGGTAATGCTGCAGAAACAATGTGGAAATTGTTTCTCTGGAAGCTTGTGGTTTAAAGTGCTGCATATAAAATGTATACTGTTGTTCATTAAAAGTCTGTGTGGTCTAGGCGGCAAAATTGCAATGTTCCAGCAGTACAGATGTGTTTGTGTGGGTTTGTTTCAGGGATGTAAAGCGAAGGCTGTTGCTTTTCTTGTGACAGAGAAGGCCTCCTGTGTAGGAAATCTTATTTATGTATATATATGTGAGACACCGTCACCTACAGATGTTTGGAACGATAACTTTTCACAGGGCTTGTCGCGTTATTAGGCAGAACTAGGTCAACAAGGTATGTGAAGGGAACTGTGTGCTATGTGCCTTTGCCTTCTAAAATAATCCACAGCGTTTAGGTACAGTGGGAGATGGCGCTCCCATAATCAGTACTAAAGAAAAATGCAACCGTCAGGAGCACGCTTTCGCTCTCTTGCCTGGATTCAAAGGGTCTTTAGGATTTGTTTCGCTTTGATTTGAATTGTGGCTAATTTTTATCGTGTTCTGCCTTGTGTATTACTGCCAACCTTTTTCTGGATCACACAGATAAGAGACTTGCATAGTCTGGTAACCTTCTGCCTTGACTGCTGTAGCACATTGGTTGTGGGGCTGGCCTTGAAGACAGTCCTGCAACTGCAGTCGCTCCATAATGCAACGCAGCTATTGCTCAGTGAACATACTTTACCAGATTCACAGGATTGTTTCCTCGTTAATTTGCCTCAAAGTCTTGGTTTTTGTACTTTTCAGACCTTATATGGCTTGGGATATTTGAAGGAACCTCATCTCCTCTAGGAACATCCTTGAGATGTGATCAGGTAGTAAGAGTTTATGGAGCATGCAGTCTATGAAGGATAGTCTTGCTTTTTTAAAATTAACAGCTCCCTCTGTGGTGGCTCTTTCTCTCCTTCAAGTGAAGACATTCATTCAACTAACAAATGTGTGGATCATTTTAAAAAAACTTGTTGCAAGTATGACACCTACCCTCCTAAGCTGGCCTTTTGGACCACATACCTGATGTGGTCCAAAAGGGGGCATTCATATTTTGGCCTTTCCTGTGGTCTTCATCTGATCTGAGGGATCAGAAGGAATGAAGTTATTGGTTGTTGTAGGTTTTTCAGGCTCTTTGGCCATGTTCCAAAGGTTGTTCTTCCTAACATTTTGCCAGTCTCTGTGGTCGGCATCTTCAGAGGACAGCACTCTGTGCTCTGGTGCAGTTTGTTTGGGAGTTGAGTATTTATGGCTGTGAGATCAGCTTTTGTCCTTTTCAGGAGATGGGTGATTATGGTGATCAGTGTGAAGATGCCGGCCACAGAGACTGGCGAAACATTAGGAAGAACAGCCTTCAGAACATGGCCAAAGAGCCCGAAAACCCACAACAACCATTAGATCCCGACCATGAAAGCCTTTGTGAATACAATGAAATTATTGTTGCACTAAAAGAAAGGCTTATGTTAGTGCAAAGTCATAGGGTTCCCCCCCCATGGCAAAAAGATGCAGTACCCCAGTTGGATTAGGACCACATTAGAAAGCAAGGTGTTAATCCTACATTCCCAGCAGAATCTAATCCAGGTCCTCCTCTCTTTTACTACTTACTTTTTAAAAGCCATACACAAAATTGCTAATTTTGCGAATGGTGTCTAGTCTAATCTGGTTCTAGGAAGAGCAGTAAATGCTGTTTTATTAAATTTGGCTGTTTTGCTGACACAAAGGCTTTTACCTTATATGGAGCAAGAACTGACTGAGGTTCCAGCTGGATTCCAAAAAGGAAGAGACACC